GCCCTCCCAGCTCTGACATTCTGAGTTCTAAGGGCCCTCCCAGCTCTGACATTCTCTGTTCTAAGGCCCCTCCCAGCTCTGACATTCTGTGTTTTTAAGGACCCTCCCAGCTCTGACATCCTATGTTCTAAGGCCCCTCCCAGCCCTGACATTCTGTGTTCTAAGGGCCCTCCCAGCTCTGACATCTTGTGTTCTAAGGGCCCTCCCAGCTCTGACATCCTGTGTTCTCTGGCCCCTCTTGGCACTAAGATTCTATATTCCTTCCCAGGTACCACACTAGGGACCTTCTTCACCCTGATGGTGGGAGGCATCACCTGCCAGACCCTGGGGTGGCCTGCCTGCTTCTACATCTTTGGTAAGTCATAAACCAGCCATTTCTGTGGGGACCTTGCCAGGTACAGAGAACCCCCTTCTCTTCCCCTCCCAGCAGCCAAAGCTGAAGCCAACAGTCTCCAAAGCAAACATGGGAAGAAAAAAGATCTATATTCAGTGCAGCTGAATAGTCTCAAGTTCACAAGCCCAGCTTGTAAATATGAATGAGACCCAGTCAGGTCCTAGGGAGAGAGGGGCGTTTTTCTAGGGGAGGGCTATAATAATAGAGAGAAAAACAAAGTGGGGGTGGCAAGAGAGCTGAACCTGGATTCAAATCCAGGCTCAGGTGCCCCTAGAGGGGACCTTAGCCAACATATAGTCCAAGTGCCTCTTTCTGCCGTTGAGGAAACTGAGGCCCACCAAGGTCAAGTGACTTGCTTAGGGCCAGTCACAGAATTTATATCAGAGCCAGGAATTGCATCCACGTGTCTTGAGTCTGAACCTGTTGACCCTGCACCATGATGCTTCCATGATTCATGAATAAATTGTACTTGTCTCTGCTGAGTCCGTATTAAAGATTCTGAGCCTCCACCTTCCAGTTGGAACCAGAATAATCGCATGGGAAGTTGGATTGAGGTTTAGGAAATCTAGGTTTTCGTCTGGGCTCTTCTACTTCCTAGCTATGTGACCTTGGGCAAATCCCTTAACCTCTCTGGACCTTTATATAAATAGGGATTAGAATATTTGTATCCCAAAGAGATAAAAGGAAAGGGAAAAGGACATATTTGTACAAAAATATTTATAGCAGCTCTTTTTGTGGTGGTGAAGAACAGGAAATTCAGGGGATGACCAACAATTGAGGAATGGCTGAATAAGGTGAGGCTTATAATTGTGATGGAATACTATTATGCTAAAAGAAATGAGGAACAGGATGGTTTTAGGAAAACATGGGAAGTCTTACATGAATGGATGCAAAGTGAAGTGAGCAGAACCAGAAGAACATTGTACACAGTAATGGCAATATTATACAATGATCAACTGTAAAAGACTTAGCTGTTCTCAGCAATATAGTGATCCAGGACAATTCTGAAGGCCTTAACGATGAAGCAGATGTCTAAAAGACTATTTTATGGAGAATTCACACAAGGCAAGGGGTCACAGGGAGGTCAGAAGAAGCAATACAAGGACAGTCTCAAGGTATCTCTGAAGAACTTTGGAAATGATTGTGAGACATTGGCACAGGACCGTTCAGCATGGAGTGTTCACATCAAAGAAAGTGCTGTGCTCCATGAACGTGGTAGAATAGAAGCTCAAAAAAAAAAAATCAAGATACACAAATTTAGAGACATCTCCACTCCAAATGTTCATATGGACTACTTGTGCCCAACCTATGATAGAACCTTCCAAGCTTGTACTGGTCTGATCAGTCACAGTTGGACACACTGTTGTTTGTCCTTCGTTCTCAAAGGGGACCATGACATCAGGAAGGTGATGCCATGACTTGCAAGTGAATTCCATTTAAGTGAGTTAAGGCTGTGCAGTCACTAGCCTCACTTTCTCCTCCCAAGCCATCTGGGTTCAGTGGCCAAATATAGATACTGGGGATGGCCCTAGATGCAGTGGAAGACCTTGGTTTTTTTAAGCTAAGGTCTTTCCCAGGACTCAGTTTGACTAAGGCAACACCAAGTCAGTGATTAAAGCCAGGTAAGAAAAGAAGGGGAGAATGGCCTCTATTACCTAGTCAAAAAAAAAAAAATTAATCTGGGAGGGGAAGACCCTCAGGGTTTCTGGCCAAAACAGAAATAATTGCTATTTACATTCACTCTGAGCCAATCAGGGCCCAAACAATTACCCAGTGGGGCTTGGCCTGGGACCTATTGTTGGCCAATCCTTAAGAGCCAGAGTGAGTTGGGCTTTCATTAACCCTAACATAGTGATATCATTTTGGTCCTCTTCAATTAAAAAAGGCAATACCCATAGCTTGCCTTCCCACAGGGTGGGGGAGGGGTGAGAGGCAGAGAGAGAATTTGGAACTCAAAAAATTTTTAAATGAATGTTAAAAAAATTTTTAATGTAATTAGGAAATATTTAATAAAATAAGTAAAATATGTTAATTCATTAAGAAAGAATATCTGCCCTGCCTCCCTCCTAGGGGTGTTGTAAGGCCCAGAGGAGTAAAGGAAAGTCCTTTGGGGAATATGGCAGCGTTTTCCCATGGGAGGTAATTCTCATTCCGTAGTCTTGTCCCTACTCACTAGGAGGTGTGCATTGTGTCTGGTGCCTGCTTTGGTTTTTTCTGGTGTTTGAAGATCCTGACAGTCACCCTTGCATCAGCACCACAGAGAAGGAATACATCACATCAGCCTCAACTCAGAAGGTAGAGGGTGTACTTTTTGTTAGCTTTGCTATGGCCTGAGCTTGGAAATGGGAACTGGACCCTTGGGAGACTATCCCCTTTTAAAAAAAAATCCACGATCTCATTTGATCCCAACTATAACACCAAAAAGTAGGTGGTATGATATTATTGTCCCCATTTCACAGAAGAAAAAACTGAGGCTCAGGTGAAACAGTTAGCCCAAGGAAACATCATTATCAAGTGACAGAGCTAGGACTTCAAGCCCAGTCTTCAAACTTCCAAGTCCAGTGTTCTTGAGTGGTAGATGCTTTCACTAAGAGAATTTCTTCTCCCAGGGCCCCTGCCACCGATGGTCACTGCCTCTCCTCTCCATGCTGAAATGTGGGCCGCTGTGGGCCATTGCAGTTGCCTATTTCTGTTGTGATTGGCTCTTCTACACCCTGCTGACTCTGCTTCCTGTGTACCTGAACCGCATCCTTCACCTGGACAGCGGGGAGGTGAGAGCGCCTCATGTCCCTACCTTCGCTGGGGCATCATCTGCTAAGTTCCCATCAGCAAAGGAGAGAGGGAGGTGCCTTGGATCAATTTACCGCCCAGCACTCTCACTGTTAAATGCTGAGCAAACCGGGACACCTAGGCTTAGCTCTAGACACGCTGTCTGCCTTTCCTCCTCTCTTGTTTGCTCTTCTCCCTCCTCTTCTTCTTCCTCCCTCTCTACCTCCCAGGGTAGAGAACCAGGGTTCTTAGACTGTCCAGAATTTTCTGCCACTTCTCTCGTGTTCTTGGCCAACTTGATACTTTGGGTAAATGACTTTGGGCAGGTCGCTTCAGCACTCTGGGTCTCACTTTCTTCACTTGTAAAGAAGAGGGCATGGATTAGATGGTCTCTAAGGCCCCTTCCAGCCCTGATGTTCTAGGTTCTAAGTCTCCCAGCTCTAATTTCTATGTCCTAAGGTCCCTTCCAGCTCTATCATGCTCTGTTCTAAGGCTCTTCCCAGCTCTGACATTCTGTGTCTTTCAGAACATCCTTGCGTGGACATTCTGTGTTCTAAGATCTCCTCTAGCTCTGATGTTCTAAGTTTTAAGTCTCCTAGCTTTGACTTCTA